AAAGGGGAATAATAGGTGCCCTTTAAATGGGGCATAATAGGTGCCCTTTAAAAACATTTCTGGGTTACTTTGCACTTCAAAATAAAGAAAATATTGTGTAATTTTGTATTTTAATATTCACAACATAGTGTTGTCAGTGTAGCGGCTGTTGTCCTGGGTGTTTTGATGGCATAGTGCACTCATCAGGCCTGGGGTAGTGGAGTCCTAGCCTTACAAATGTGCTGCTGCCGTTGTGGGCCGTAATGTTTGAATTATTCTATCATTATCACATAACAATGTTGCAGTGCAAAACATCTTAATGTTCTTCAAATGGCCTTCATTTCCAAATGGGCAAAATATCTTCTTTTTTTTTTTTTTTTTGGCACAATGATGTATACTCTTGAGAGAGTTTTGTGAGAGTTACCCAAATTGTATTCAAAATGAAATAGATCTCAAGAAGCAATTACACTTGAACAAACTTCTGAAGTCGCTCAAGTGTTTTAGGAGTGCAGAAGTCTCCTAACTCGTATTGTTGATCAAGGGTGGTTTGTAATGCAGAAATAGCAGGTTTTCGGCAACGTTAATCAAAGACCTCTGACACTTCTGAAAACGTAATGCATCTCCTACTATTTTTTCCATGAAATGTTTCACAAGTACTTCAAAGCAATCCGGAGCATTTTCAGATATTAAGATGCACCTTTCTCAGATTTGTGGGAAGCTGTCCTACCCATCAGCCACTGCAGCTTTCTGACCTTGAAGGATCTGCTTTCTGTTTGGCGTAAACATGCGTACACACACACACAGAGAGAGACGAGCTTTCAGGTATACGCTCTCCCGCTTCCTGTCTTTCATCACAAATTGACATTTCCGTTGAAAGGAAAGAATAGAGAACAAGTAACAGAAAAAAGACAAAAGATTGATCAAAAATAATTGTAAAATCACTGAAGCTAATTAAAAACCCATTTGCAAGCAAAATGTCACTCTTCTGAGCGATATGTTGGTAGACCTCGCAGATGTTTGAGTTTGGCACTCGAAATGAAACCCAGCTGAACGTAAAGCCAATCACAAACAAAAGCCAAATGGAAAAGAAAGCCGCAGTGCTCGGTGAGTATAAGTCAAAGCGCTACGTGTGTTTAAAAAAGCTCAGACGGTTATGAAATATTATCTCTCACCGTGAGCAACCCTCTCCAACTTCGGCACTGTTTCCATGGAAATACACACAATAGCTCAATGGTGTTATTTGACACCGCTCTCGGCCAATGAAAATCTGACCTGAAAGCTGCAGGCCTGGAGGAGCGTGCGGTCGGTGCTCATAAACTAAAGGTAGCTCTGACTGAGCCGGGAGCAACACAGGTTCCCAGTCCATGAGCTCGAATCTTAAAGCTCTTATTGGCTCTCTGTGTTGATTTAGAGCTCATGCACCATGAACGGTGGACGACTGAATTTAGTGAAGCAGAATTCATGACCTGACTCATGAAATTATGATTTTACATTATAACACAAAAACAAATTGTGACTGCTGCAGTCCTCTCAACTCTGCGTCATGATGGCTAAGGGTGTTTGCTATGCAGTTACTAAGGTGTTCTGAGAGTGGTTGCTAGGGCATTGTTCTGGGAGGCTCCATTTCTAAAAGGGCCCAGCCCTAATCTCCGTGATATTCTGGTCTTTAGATATAGATTAAGTCCGTCCTTTATTGTAAATCTAAAGGATTTGTTTCAGCAGTTTTACCAGCTGATGAACTAATGCTGCATTGTTTGAGGTACCAAAGCGCAAATGTGTGCTATTGTGAATCTGCTCTGAAAACATTTCTGTTCAACCCGATCTCACGGGAATTCGTACGAATTTTACGAGGTGGCTAATTCGTACAACCTCACTCGTACGAATTAGTACGATTTTGCAAAATCGTACATTTTACGAAATAGCCAGTTCGTATAAATTCGTATTAATGACCTACCCCTGACCCCGCCCCTAAACATAACCGTCACGTGGGTTTAGGCAAATCGTACGAATTAGTACGAATTAGCCACTTTTGAATCACTCGTACGAATTGGTCGTGAGATAGTTTCTATTATATTAAACCCTGGAAAAATAATGTTTGGCTTGAGTTTGTGTTACAGGTTTGTTTATTGATTAATCCTAAATATGAGAAATTATAATAGAGATGCTTGCCTTATTAAAGGAGTAGTTCACTTTAAAAAAAAAACAAACTTTTGCTGATAATTTACTCACCCCCATGTCATCCAAGATGTCCGGGTCATTCTTTCTTCAGTCGAAAAGAAATTAAGGTTTTTGATGAAAACATTCCAGCATTTGTCTCCATATAATGGACTTCAATGGGAACCAAACGGTTCAAGGTCCAAAAGACAGTTTTCTGTGGGAAGGGTATGTAAAGTCCTCATCCCCTGCACAGCCTGGGACACAACATTTGTGTCACATGATCGGCCATTTTCGCTTGTGTCTTCACCTGAGAACTTCTGATGATTCGGCTGCGCAGTTTCGACTGGCATTGAACATTGAACCATTTAAAGTCCGCACCAAGAAAAAAGTGATGGAAAATGTTTTTGTTTGCATTTCTTATCTTCTTATGTCACTAGTAGCCACACTCAATGTATTTTTTTTTCAACACATCCCATAATTTTTTTAAATATCGGCCTCTACCAAATGGTTGAGATGTCCCTTAATGGTAATAAATGGTACCGGAATTCATACACATACTTTGCCATACTTTTTCATTGCCCATCAAAATGTATGATCAAAACCTTTTCTAGTCTTGACAAAACACATTGTCAGAAGTCTCAAGGTTCAATATTTTGTGATAGAAGTGATATTTGGACAGAATTTATGTCATTTTTGGTATTACGCCTAAACAAAATCTCATGAGAATTTTTGTGATATCAACTTCAAATTTGGTTAGATATATGGCTTTGATTTTATAGCAATTTTATAGCTCTGTAAAATATATATTTTATATAAAAGAAAAAATATTTAGTACAGTATATTTGATTTAATGTAAATTGAAAACTTCCATAACAAAGTGCTTATACTTCAGCAATAATCAGCAGTGTTTTCTTTAAATCAAGACTAAACTTAGGTCTTTATTCCAAAGCATAGTTGAATTACAACCAAGTTTTAATAGTGCATTGTAATGTCCATTCTCAAAAAGAGGGGTGACAGTTAACCGTTATGTGTCATGTTTTTTGAAAAATGATTAAAAATATACTCACGTTTTTTCATAGCACCAAGTAACATCAATTTGTAAAGTTACGGCTCTTACAGTGTAATATGTAAAAAATAAATATGCTTAGCTTGCAAAAATTTCACCAAAAATGTTAGAAGACGTGCTGTTGATTGACACTGTGATTTTTTTGGCATAATATACCTCAACCAGAGGATAGAGATGGCTCAATCAGTTTGAGTTAAGTTACGTACTCCTCTCAATAAAATATAGTGACTCAAAATGTGCTCAGCCGTTCGGTTGAGAAGTCAGTTAAAGGGTTTTAATGATCCTGACTGTTGCGTCACATCGGTGTTATGTAGAGATTCGCCTATTTTTCAAAAATGAGATTTAAAAAAAACAATGGTGTTTGAGACTCGCTGTATTAACTCTTATTATTTAACTCTGCCAAGATAAATTCAATGTCAAATTCTAGGGCACTTTTAAGGTGGCAAGGTTTTCAAAGCTCAGAGAGTTTAAGCAAAAATTAAAAAAGTAAATCGTTGGAAAAGCAAAATCAGTTTGTACACACATGATGCTTTGTTGCATGAGAAGAAGTGTTGTTTCTATGCCGGGCTCCTGCTGTGAACAGGCTGGCTCTCATTGGTTCATTAAGACTGTGAATATGCAGGCGGTGAGCAGCGTGGGGGCGGGCGAGCGCTTATCTCTCTCTCTCTGAAGCTCCCCTGGCATGACAAATCTTCCCGAATCTCGCTGGTGTAGAAGGATCTGCTCACACCAGCTTCCTGTAGTCTAAACCAGATATCTGCTCTCCGTTTGCCAAGATCAGCTGTCTCTGAAACTGATGATTTGTTGCTCATGCATCACAATAGTTAACACGATGTTAAAGGGATTGATCAACTAAAAATTCAATTAGGTTACTCACCCTTGTGTTGTTCCAAATCTGCATTATAATAGAATAGATAAGTATTATAATGTATTATAACGGTGTAATTTTGTAATGCATTACAAGGCAAAATTAATGCATTCAAATACTTTAATAATGCATTGTTTAAAAAACGGCTTTATAGGAGTAGTTCACAAAAAAACTACTGATTTGCTGATAATTTACTCACCCCCATGTCATCCAAGATGTCCATGTCTTTCTTTCTTCATTCGAAAAGAAATTAAGGTTTTTGATGAAAACATTCCAGGATTTTCTCCATATAATGGACTTCAATGGGGACCAAACGGTTCAAGGTCCAAAAGACAGTTTCAGTGCAAACTGTTCAAAGGGCTTTAAACGATTCCAGACGATGAATAAGGGTCTTATCAAGCGAAACGATTGACCATTTCAAAACTAAAAAGTTCAAAAAGTTTTATAAGCACAAATGTTCGCCTTGCTCTGTTCTGTGATGCGCGTTCGTGACTCTCCTGTTCATCAAAATGAACAAATCTTTTTCCGAGTCATGACTCGAAGGGTCCTAGATAAGACCCTTATTCATCGTCTGGAATCGTTTAAAGCCCTTTGAACAGTTTGCACTGAAACTCTCATTTGGACCTTGAACCGTTTGGTTCCCATTGAAGTCCATTATATGGAGAAAAATCCTGGAATGTTTTCATCAAAAACCTTCATTTCTTTTCGACTGAAGAAAGAATGACACGGACATCTTGGATGACATGGGGGTGAGTAAATTATCAATAAAATTCTTTTAAAAGTGAACTACTCCTTTAAGTAAAGTGAAACACAAAAGATGTTTTGAAGAACGTTGTTGTCCAAACGTGACTTTCATCGAGTAGATAGAAGCACTTACAATATGAATCAAATAAATGATGTTTCAGAGCACGATGTGTTTTCCCTCGGCAGGAAGAGCCGTACGTGATGTTCAAGAAGTCGGACAAGCCGCTGTACGGGAACGATCGCTTCGAGGGCTTCTGCATCGACCTGCTGCGAGAGCTGGCTGCCATCCTGGGCTTCTCCTACGAGCTGCGGCTGGTGGAGGACGGCAAGTACGGCGCGCAGGAGGAGAGCACGGGCCAGTGGAACGGCATGGTCCGGGAACTGATGGACCACGTGAGTCAGACTCTTTGGAAACGCTTTACTTGAAGGGGTGTGCATAAGACTGACATGACACCATGACATGACATACTGTATGTCTTGAATATGAAGGATGGTTTATGCATGTTTTTGACAACTGTCATTAAGTGTCTTTCGCTCAATGATGACATTTTAATGCAAATATGACATCTTTGATATGAAATCTTGACATAAACCAATACATCATAACCTGTCAGAGTCTTTGTCATGACAACTTGACATTAAATGAAGTTAATCTGTCATGTGGTTGGCTTTGACATTGTCTGTCATGAGGCCATTATAACTGTGTCATGAATATTCTTCATGTCCTCAACTACAGTGGTACTAATTGAATTTGTCATTAAAAAGTTATAATGGCCTCACGACAGCCAACGTCAAAACCAACCACCTGACAGTCTAATGTAATGTTAACAAATAAGTTTCTTAAGTTTGATCATTAATCTGCTATGTCATGTTTATGACAGGTTGTGTTGTCTTAGTAATGTCAAAGGCTCTGACAGGTTATGATGTATTGGTTTATGTCAAGGTGTCATAACGAAAACATTTCAAACAATGTCATATTTGCATTATAAGTGAAAGAATGACACTTAATGACAGTTGTCACAAACATGCATAAAACTTCCTTCATATTCAAGACATATGTCTCATCATGATTATAAGTGTTACCGACTCTTTTGATTGCACTTATGTTGGCTCTTTTCTGTAGGGTTGAGCAAAATTGGCCCCCTTTCAAATCATAAATGTGAATATACAGTATCTAGACTTGGCCACCCCTAAATATGCTGAATTGGATTTTAAATCCCTTTCAACAATTCAAAGAAAATCTGAATAACAAAATAGATTTATAACGATTAATTTGATTAATCATGACTATGACATGTAGAGTCCACGCACGTCTCTTCTGCCCACCAAGGCTGCATTTATTCAACATTTTCATCATCATTAATCCAGTCTTCAGTGTCACATGATCCTTCAGAAATGATGATCAAGAAACATTTATCCAAAACATTTTTGTGGGAAACATAATTTTTTTCAGGATTGTTTGATGAATAGAAAGTTCAATAAATGCCATTTGCAATAGAAATCTTTAGTAGCACTATAAATGAATATAATATCAACAATTCATAACATTTGCACTGTAAAAATGAATACGACTGAATATGTTAAATCTAATCAATAAAATTGAGGCTGCAATTTTTAAGTCACCATTATAGTGATCAGTGTGTGTTTTAGTTGGGCTCTTGACATTTACATCATTAACGTTAGAAGTTGTTTGAACAAATGTGTGAAGGTGATCTGATGGTGTTGGTTGTGTTTTAACATAATCATTATTTAAGAAACTCATTTGGTTAATTTTTACTCAATTCTAATTTTTAATTAATAATAATGATTGTAATCTGTTGCCTCAATTTTATTGATTAGATTTAACATATTCAGTCATACTAATTTTTACAGTGCAGTCTGTTTTTCCGATATTTTTGTTTAAAAAAAAAAGTGTGAATTCTACTCATTTGAAATGGTTAACTTTTAAGTAATTAATTTGGTTAATTAATACTCAATTCTAGTTTGTTACATTTAATTAATAATGTTGATTGTAATCTGTTGCCTCAATATTATTGATTAGATTTAACATATTCAGTCATATTCATTTTTACAGTGTACTGCCACTTTTGATGCATTAAATGTGCCCTCACTGAATGAAAAAAGTGCAAAAAGTACTCATTTTTGTAAAAAAAAAAAAAAAAAAAAGCTCTCTTATCCCAAACATTTCTATAGGGTGCTATTCAAACCCAATTAATGTTTCAATTAATGTTAAAATTAAAGTATTTTTTTTTAAACTCTACATAAATTCTATACATTTCTTTGAATTACATTCCATCGTAATTCTACTTAAACAAAAATTTGCATAAAAATTCTGCTTCCTGTTTGTTGCCACAATTCAATTTGAATGACATTATTAAGACATTGGACTTAAATCTTAATTAATTCGAGGATGCTACACAATCCTGACACACTCCCACTCTGCTACAGAAGGGACGTGTCAAGATTATTCAATAAAATGAGATGCTTTCAGTGTAGAGAGGAAACAGATATGAAAATAAGATGAACAGTGTGTGTGTGTGTGTGTGTGTGTGTGTGCGCGCGTGCAGCAGATGGCATGAAGATGCGATAAAATAAAACTCAAGCACATACTGCCGAGAGGACACAAAGTGAAAAATCTGGCATTAGTTTTCCCCCTATAGAGCTTATTAAGCACACACACTTTTACAAACGCACACACACACACACACTGCCCTTCGATATCCTCATTAGACTCGTCTAAGACTGCGATAGGAATAAACACATTTCTTTCGCGTTCAATAGCAGTATCCCGAATTCCCGATATATATCAGACATCTCTCTTAGTCACTGCTCCTCAATTGGCCACGGTCGGATCGTCTGGTGTGAAAGTGTGTGTGTGTTGTCGTAACATTCCCCGGCAAACCCCCCCACAAGACGACGAGAGCAGGACAGACTGTAATTGGCCTTGACAAGCTTTCAGAGCAGTCTGGAGTTTGCAGTTTGCCAGTGCATTGATGTGCTAGAGATAAAAATATCTTGTCAAAGGACTTTAGAAGAAGAAGAGAAAAAAAAGAAGGTAGCGACAACATCTGCTCACTTCTGGCATTAATTTGCCCCCTCTGGGAATAATTATAGACAATCCAATAATTCTAGACAGAAGCCTTTATTTTGAGTGAAATTATACCAATTCTACCAGTAAAAGCAGTGAAATTGAACTAAATTTCAGTTTTAGCGTGTCAGCGTTCAGACAGCAGCCCTCCATCAGTTGTGGAGGAGGAATAATGCCTTTACCGTGTCAAAACCCATGTTTCTTTGAAGAACTATCAGTACTGGGAATAATCTCACATTCACAATCACACTGTAGTCAAACTATAAAACCTCAGCGCTGGCTGGGACGTGTGTCGTTTAAACGTCGAGCCTCTAAAATAAGTTTGAAGAATATTATTCAGGATTTAAAAGAGAATATAGTGCAGAACAGGAGACTTTGAAGATATACTTTGTGATTGGATTACTTTTCGTTTTTATTTGAAGCTTAAAGGAGAAGTTCCCTTTTAACAAAACTTTTGCTGATAATTTACTCACCCCCATGTCATTCTTCAGTCGAAAAGAATTTAAGGTTTTTGATGAAAACATTCCAGGATTTTTCTCCATATAATGCACTTCAATGGGAACCAAACGGTTCAAGGTCCAAATGAGAGTTTCAGTGCAAACTGTTCATCAAAAAAGGGCTTTAAACGATTCCAGACGATGAATAAGGGTCTTATCAAGTGAAACGATCGCTCATTTAATAAATAAATAACAAAGTTTAAGTTTTATAATCTCAAATGCTCGCCTTGCTCTGTTCTACGATGTGCGTTCGTGACTCTCCTGTTCGAACTCGTTTATCAAAATGAACGAATGTTTTCCAGAGTCAACTCATTCATTTCGTTCGTTGAATGAACCAAATAATACACTTTGTTATTTATTTATTAAATGAGTGATCGTCTCGCTTGATAAGACCCTTATTCATCGTCTGGTGTCGTTTAAAGCCCTTTGAACAGTTTGCACTGAAACTGTCTTTTGGAACTTGAACCGTTTGGTTCCCATTGAAGTCCATGTTTTCATCAAAAACCTTAATTTCTTTTCGACTGAAGAATGACGTGGGGGTGAGTAAATTATTGTTATTATTATTATTTTTTTTTTAAAGTGAACTACTCCTTTAATAGATGCTAATCTGAAAGATACAATTTTACATTAAATGATTACATCTGGGATCAGTGTAAAAATAACTTCACAGTTAAAGCAAATACTCAATAAGTTATAAGTTTCATTCTATAAACCGCATTTTTTAAGAAAGTCATATTTTTAATCAGCAAGGACACCCGAAAATGAAAATTCTGTCATTAATTAACCTCATGTCGTTCCAAACCCGTAAGTCTTTCGATCATGTTCAGAACACAAATAAAGATATTTTTAACTAAATCTGTGGGTTTTTTGTCGCTCCATTGGCAGTCTCCCAATTTTAATTTTTAAAATATTAATCGCTAACATGTGTTCAGGAGAGCATCACTACGCATGTGTGTTCTGTTGATGTGAAAGCAGATGTTGTCTGATTAATATGTTGTAAATAAAGCACTCGCATTGCTTCATAAAATTAGGTTATCCCATTGATGTCACATGAAAGTAGTAGTTGCATAGACTGTCAATTGAGGAATAGAAAGCTCCAAGATTTCACATAATCATATCATACATATATATATATATATATATATATATATATATATATATATATACAGTATATATCTTAATTTGTGTTCTAAAGATGAACGGAACGACGTGAGGGTGAGTAATTACTGACTTTTCATGTTTGAGTGAACCCTTTAAATGGATCAAAAGTGACAGTAAAGACATTTCTAATGTTACAAAAGACTTCTGTTTCAAATAAATGCTCTTCTTTCTTTGAAAACATTGTTTTCATCAACAAATCCTGATGTAGTATCACCGTTTCCACAAAAATCTGAATCAGCACACCTGTTTCCAACACTGATAATAATCATAAATGCTTCTTGATCATCAGATCATCATATTAGAGTGATTTCTGGAGGGTCATGTGACACTGAAGACTGGAGTAATGATGCTGAAAATTCAGCTTTGATCACAGGAATAAATTACGTTTCGAAATAATTACAATAGAAAACAAATTATTTCACAATATTGATGTCGTTGTATTCAAACAATGCAGCGTTGGCAAGCACACACTCTAAAAAATGCTGGGTTGTTTCAATTTGGTTGAAAAAAATGTTGGGTTAAAAATGTCATTTAAAATGTCAACTTTCTGTAAACTTTTGTAAATTTTTTAATTAAAATTTTTAACCGAACATTTGGGTTTGTCCATATTTGACCCAAATTTGTGTTGAAACAACGCATTTTTTGCAACGCAGTTTTAAAAACATTAAAAAAATTTCTCACAAACCCCCTTTTGAATGGCAGGGCATATGAATACACCTCTGAAAATCTACACTGTTGCTTTGACAACCATAATCGAGACGTTATGGCATGTTTGCACTGGACATGAGTGATCTGAATCTCTCCCATTATGAACAATTAAGTTGCCTGCAATGGAAGCAGAACAGACTATATTGTGCTGGATCTTGGATGAACTATATTGACTATGTTGTGCTGGATTATAAAAATTGTGCTGCAAATATCAACAGTACCAGTTGACACATCTCAACCCTCACATGGTACATGCAGTCTTACTCCTTATTGATATGCAAAGAAGACATGGTTTTGATTATCGCAGCTGTGGTTGTCACAGTCCTGACAGCATCACACAGGCCACGGAAAACAATCCGCGGGCCTGTTGAGTATAGCGCTCGTGTGGGCAGGACCGATGCCAGGCATGAGCAGTCTATAGGCGGTCATCATCTGCCTTCAGAGGACGCATCTAATGGAAATAAACCTCATAAGTAACGGAGCTGAAGCGCTTTCCATATGCCACACTCTTAGGCTAAAATGATCAGCATAATTATAGTGCCGTTTGCCACATTATTTGCATGGGGAGTGTGTCTATTATGCCTTAAAATGCGTGTCTTGCAGATTTCCAATTTACAGTGTCTCAATTTGTCCCGCAGTATAATTTGCATGTAATGACTATAGACGCCACATCTCTTTAAGAATAAACGGTTATGTTGCTATGCTTAAAAACATAGATTGATTATCCAACATAATAACTAGATACACTTTATTTCAATAGTCCACTTTAGACATTTTACTAATGATTCGTAACTTTGCAACTACATGTCAACTAACTCTCATTAGTAGTCTACTCTAATGGAAGTTAGTTGACATGTACTGTACAGGTTGCAAAGTTACTTATGCTTAATATCTGCACACACTTTATTGTGATGCTCCTCAACAGATATATTCTACTGACTATAAGTAACTTTGCAATGTCAACTTATATACATCTATGCATTTAAAAAAAATAAATATAAAATAAATAAAAAAATATTGCAAAAGTGCAGATGTTTAAGTTTGTGCAAACATGTTTGAAGGCAAGAAAAGCTTTTTTTTTTTAAATATACTGAGAAATATATCTGGTTTCATGGGGTAAGTGGTGCTTTTATAATAAATAAAGGTTTCCCATCAGTGTGTATGCATTTTTAATGTACTTACCCTGTAACAACACGGAATAAGAGGGTAACAACAAGCACCTACATGAAACAAATCTTTCCCCAATATTTAAGCAAACGTTTCAATAGTTTTCGTTGTCAGTGTACTTTATAAATGTATCGATATATACCCTGTAATTTGTATAAAGCCTATACAGTATGTACTGGTTCACCATTATTTCAAAATGGTATTTTCTCTCTAAATTGCTCGCAAATTTGAAATTGTTGTATCATAATAGTAGAATATGTACCCCTAAGTTATATAATTCTTACAGTATAATATTATTTTAATTTCTCCTGGTTGTTACCCCTTTATTCCCCAAACGTAAAATATTGTTCCCTTATACTCATATTGTAAGTACGTTATAGGTACACTATAATTACCGAAGGTAAAATCGCTTTAATTAGGCTGTAATCTAAAGCGTTATATGTGGACTATAAGTTGCAGTCTGAGAGACACGGGACATTTCCGCTCCTGACAGTGAGCCAACATCGGCAGACCTGCGTTAAACCCCGTGATTTTCCCTCGTTCACGAGTGCTATTTTCATGTTTTAGTGTAGTTGTGTAGCTGAGCGAGTGTATTCGGTTCAGCGCACCTCCGCTCCCTCAGACCCAGTAAATCATGAAAGGCTTTAGTAAGTGCTGAAACAGTAGCAGGTAAATCAAGAGAGAGAGCGCGAGTCCACGAGAGGGCTTTAAATTTCCTCTTAAACGCTGTGGGGCAGAGTGTGTGATGTGTAAAAGCCCTGTTTTCTTAATTTGATTTCCTCTAAATGCTTCTGCTTGCCCTGATTTACAGCCTATCGCTCTTTTCCCTGTGCGTTATTTGTTGGCAGAAAGCTGATCTTGCAGTGGCGCCGCTGGCCATCACGTACGTGCGGGAGAAGGTCATCGACTTTTCCAAACCCTTCCTGACGCTGGGGATAAGTATACTGTACCGCAAGCCCAACGGCACCAACCCCGGGGTGTTCTCCTTTCTCAACCCCCTCTCCCCCGACATCTGGATGTATATTCTGCTCGCTTACTTGGGTGTCAGTTGTGTGCTGTTTGTCATAGCCAGGTAACATACCAGCCACATATATATAGACATAACCCCACATCATAACCTCATCTCATTGACATTGACTAAAGCAGTAGATTCAACATTAGTGGCCTTGAAGGAATAGTTCACCCCAAAATAAAGACATCTACTCACCCTCATATCATTCCAAATCTGTATGACTTTCCAAATCTGTATGTATGACGTGGAATGCTAAAGGCAAATTTTCACCTCTTTTCCTTGTGTTATCAAAGTTCAAGGCGAATAGGCCTGTGATGATTCAAGGCCCTGTTTACACCTGGCGTTAAGATGAGTTTTGGATCACAATTGGCTGGTGTAAACAGGGTCGTTTGGAGCTTGTCCACTTTGGACCACTTCCAGAGGTGGTGGAAAACACATTCGGATTGCTCTCGTAGCGTCGACGCTCATGTGGCGAATGCGTTCGAACAGCGAAAAAAGCAACGCTTTCTCATCCTAGGGCGTCATATAGTGACGATTTTCACATTTCGCTCACATGGCACCCTTTAGCGTCAATATAACACGCTTCGGTTATGGGTAGGTTTAGGTCTGGGGTAGGGTTAGGGTTAGACCACTAGGAGGCGCCTTCTGGCCCATATATATCTGCGTCTCATATTGACGCTAAAGGGTGCCATGTGCGTCGGATGTAGACGAAATGTCAAAAGCGTCAGTATATGACACCTTGGGATGAGAACAGGCTGGAAAAAAGACACCTACGGCAAAATGTCAACAAAAATATGATAAAATTGGCTTCATGTAATGAACAAATTGGATGTACTTTTTGTCATTCCATGGGTTTGATGGCCCCATCCTCCATTCATTTTCAAAATCCTGCTCTGGTTCTTCTTCAAAAATTCACTTTGCATCTCCCATGGAAGTTTGACAGAGTTGGAACGGCATGAGTATGAGTAAATGATGACTTAAGGAATAGTTGAAGTATTTCTTTGAGAATTCTGAATGCCACTCACAATATTTATCATGAGGTTCAGCTCAGTCGTTTCCTGGAAAATTGTCGAATTATGAAATTCTTGCAGGTGTGAATAGGAGATAACAAAGAGTTAAGGCTGTCATTTGAGAGAGAGAAAGAAGCACTGGCGCATAGGAAACTCTCATGAGAGAGGAACTTTAAGGGTTGCTTTGGTCTTCATGTCTCGACGCTGAGGAGATACAATATGTGCCTCTACTCTGATAATGCGCAAACCACAAAAGCAAAGATGCTAAATCACAGTTTGAGTGTGTGAACGACAGAAAGCAGGTATGCGGGAGTGTTCAAGCGTGTGTGTGAGTGAGATTGAGGCATTTTCTGGTGTGAAACGCAACCCTCCCTTCCCATCCCTCGCTGTCCCTACTGTCTAGTTTGTATCTTTTTCTTTTCTGACCGGGTTTTTCCACATCCTGCTTCACATTTCCTTTGGCAACTGAGATTTTATGATATCTAATGCTCCAAAAAATGTGTTTGTATTGTTAACAGCAGATATTGCTCTACATGTACTTTTTCCTAAAGCTTCATTGCTTAAATGTGCTATTAAGTATGTTATGATAAGTGTACTATAAATAAATTACACTTAATTGTTTATTATAAGTAGAGATTACTGGATAATGGTCCCTTAATTGGATACTCTGGATTTAGTGCAAGTTAAGATATCAATTAGAAAATAATTTCGATCCGTACTCAGTTTGTAAAAACAAACAGCCTTAAACCGCAGTTAGCAGAATCCTCCGGCAAAAGGAAGCTGCTGGAAAGGAGTCGAAGAAATGTACTTTTTATGCATCTGTTCGTAACTTTATAATGAGTTATTTTATACCTGATAGGGCTCACATTTGACAACTGTCAGTTTGTGTTTTTACTCGTTACTCCCAAATTGGCAGGAATAGCATGTCAACTTCTCTGCATCCATGACTCAGAAACTGCAAACACCTCTCGCTGTGTGGAGACTGTACAAATGTAGGATGCCGTACAGTTTTGACATTTTTATTGCACGTTATGTGGTCATAAACAAAAATGTATAAAATCAAAATTCTGAGATGTAAAGTCGCAATTATGAGAAATAGTTGCAATTGTGAGATATAAAGTCGCAATTCTGAGAAATCAAGTCGCGATTCTGAGAAATAAAGTCGCAATTCTTAGAAATAGTCGCAATTGCGAGATATAAAGTCGCAATTCTGAGAAATAAATTCGCAATTGCGAGATATAAAGTCACAATTCTGAGAAATAAAGTCGCAATTTTGAGAAAATAAAAAGTCGCAATTCTGAGAATAGAGTCGCAATTGTGGAGATATAAAGTTGCAATTCTGAGAAATAGTCACAATTGTGAGATAAAAATCCTCAGTTCTATATTCAATTCAATTCAAAAACATCAATTCTGACTTTATATCTCGCAATTCTGACTTTACAACACACAATTCTGACTTTATATTACATAATTCTGAGAAATAAAGTCAAAATTGTGAGATAAAAAGTCGCAATTACCTTTTTTATATTTCATTCTGTGGTGGAAACAAGCTTCCATAATATGCAACTGTGACATATAAAAAAAGAAAAAAAAAACAAGAAAAAAAAAAGAAGAAGAAGAAATAAAATAAAAAACTTGATTGATTAATTGCATGGCCCTTTCATTTGAAGATTTTACATAAATAAATTAATAAATACTTTTTTTTTTTTTTTAAATGAGGAAATGATGGGTTCCTGAGTGAAATATGTTCCCTGTCAGGAGTGGACTTGCATGTAAATGTGTAAGCCTCTATCTCAAACGAGCTACTGGCTGACGATTTGAATTTGAATGACAAAAATTTAACTACAAGTTGCCAGGCAACCATCCAACCCATCCATCCCATAATTACAAAACACAACTGGCGTCTTCTTCCATTATACGTTTAGTGCTTCCATTTGAAATTACTTTTTGTCTTTACTTTTTGAAACTGATGTATGAGTCGAAATTTTCTAGTGTAATCGACAGCTTATTATTTATTCATATTAGACCCAGAATTGTCCTTTAAATGTCACACACTGTAGTGAATTCTTAGAATAATTTGCTGAGATCATTTTTTAATCATTAATCATACAAAACCATTTTCACTTGCATTGGGTCTTTCCATTGCTCCTTTTTTGAAGCATGGTGGGGAGAAATCCACAGAAAATGCCTTATTTTAACCCTAAAACTCTTGGGTTGCTGCGTTCAGATGGTCTAACCCAAGAGTGTTATGGTTAATGCACTTGTGCTTTATAAATGTTACTGGCGATATGATCACACAAGTTTATAACAAGCTACAACTGCCATCTAAGTTGGTTCAGAATATGCACCTTTCACCTTATAACTGCACTAATGTTAATGCTGGGTAAGTGTTCACCTTTCCATTCCTCAACTAGAGTAAAAATAACAAGCACACACACACATCAACGACATGTTTTAACAGCAGAGGAGACCTAACGCAAGATCGTATTAATGTGTTTATGTGTTTGTCTCTTTGTACACATTTCTTTATGTGTGCATGTGCGACTGCTTTTGTGTGTGCACTTTAAAGCTGGTATATGCAGCAAACATGCGTGTGAGAGAGAGAAAGACAGAGCGAGAGAGAAAGAGATCACAGGGTGACATAATGGGGACTGGTGGAGGGTTTCCTAAGGCTTATTCTCACCATGCAGTATTTAAGAAACCTTCCTTCTGGGCACAGTATTAAAGTCAAATATTTATCCTCTTCTCAGAATCATAATGCATATCAGCAGTTGTTTTTGTTCCTGTTGTTTTCATTCCCTTGCAAAGTTTCTTCTTTCTTCTGCGAAAGCAGGTGATGAAGCAACCGAGGAAGTCCCAATTATAAGAGTTACACTTACTGTACTTATCACGCTGATTCTTTCGGCATAAACGCTGCCAATGCAATACTTATTTGTTTAAATTCTGCTTCTGATTCTATGCTTCAAATACATCTTTTAAGTGTCATATTCTTATGAAAGGCAAGTTTATCTTACTATTGCATCTGTTGATGCAGGAGTTTATTATTAGGTGTTCAAGCACAAAGTGCTGAAAACCTTTTGTATTTGTAGGGGTTTTTATTATTATTCTTCTGCCGTCAAACACATCGTGTATAGCCCAAATCGTAAGGCCTAGAGACTTGAAACTCAGCCAGATGGTAGGCCTCAATTTCGGGAGAGCCTGTCGGAGCCCGATTGCCCCATAGGTGGCACTACAGCAACCAAAAGTACTAAATTGCTCATAACTCCTAGACCATTTGACTCAGCCTCAGGGTTTTTACACTACTGTGATCCTTGGCTCAAGTCGGACAAAATGTATATCTCCGATTTCGATTTAGGCAAAAACTTTCGAATGTCGAATTTTGTCCAAAACCTACTTTTGCGAACCAGTCCCTGGTTTTTCACCCGATCAGAACCAGACCAGTCTAGGACAATTCTCTGGACTCTCTAGATCAATAATTATTGAAAACAAAAGTTGAAATTTTGCATTTGGTTGGCCACAGCAGGGCCATTCAGAAAGTGGTCCGTGGCAAAAGCCAATAAATCCTAAAGGAAAAGTCAGAACTTCACAAAAAGCATATGTGTCCTAGCATGGTTAGGAAGCATGCAAAGTTTTGTGAAGATCGGACCATAGGTGGCGCTATAACTGTGAAAAAGATTGTCTCATTCGTATTAGTTCAAGCACGAAACTATGGTAAATCATGCAAGATTCATGGTAAATTATACTGGAACATGGTAAATAATGAAGATCACACTGAAATGTGGTGTATCATGGTAAAGTGGTTAAATGCTTGCTACATAAAACTTTATATATTTTGATGCTTTTGTGCTTAAAGGCCTTAACTGCTTGAACCCCGCTAAATGTTGCTTGCAGCTTTAATATTTATTTAAAGTCTGCAACAAGTTGCTAAGTGAAACAAGAGCAAAACAAATCTTTTATACATTGGAAATTGATTGGATTATATACATTATATACCAGAAAAGATGAGGCTGGAGAGATATACACACATTTAATGTTGATTAAATGATGACTGAAATCCTTTCTTCAAAGTCAGTCTTGGATCATGGAAATCAATGAGTGCTGCCGTTCAGAAGCTCTCCTTAAGCAGAATGATTTCATGTCTGTAGCAAATGTTGCAGGATAAGTTACTCAAAAGAGGATTAAGAGTTTGTTTAAATCCCACACTGAAAGTATGAGCAATATTTGTAGTAACGCTTGTCTTAGTAAACATCACTAATGAATCATTGTCCTTACTGCAGTGAGAAACCCCAAGCATGCGAAAGAAAGGAGGATACGTGCTCCTCACAGGATGAGTAATGCTCTCTCCAGTCTGGGCAAGTGCTTATCAGATCCCGCTCATTTCCAGGTGGAATATGCTTCTAAATGGGCTGCACTTAGGATGATTTAACAGACTGCTGTGTGGAGCTGACTAGATAATTACTCTGAGTCTATGAGGGAAGAGGATGGAAAGACGACACTGGAAATGTAGTTCTTTTTTTTCTCGTTTTACAGCACAAATATGTAAGATACATTTACATGAGAAGCAAAATTGTATGAGAGAAGACAAATATATATTTTAATATGACTACATATTTTTTTTCTTTTTCTAAGCATAGCTCTGCTTAGAAAATGGTTTGTTGACAAACGCACATTTGATTAGAATGCTGAAAAATCTGTTACACAATCTATTCTGATTGATATACTTTTTTAGCAAGTAAAAGCCCTTTTAGTGAAATTGTAAAAACATCCACCTTCAGCTTGTACTTCACGTGTCTTTTTACTGTGAAATCTTTTCAACTATAGTTGAACATCTATAATGATGGGTTGTTTTAACCCTATTTTGGGTCAAATATAGACAAACACAAACATTGGGTTAAAAACACATTATTAAAAAAAAATGTTACCCAAGGGCTGGGTTTGTCTAGCCTGGATGCCAGCTCGAACTCCGCCCACAATATTTTTGGGTCGGGAAGTTCGGTCTGGACTCGATCCATTGAGGAGTAATTATGATCAGTCAAAAAAATGATCGGGCCAATCAAATTGCCAGGGTGGGCTTTATATGATGATGGACAGATGATCTGCAGGGACGTAATCATCACGTTAGAAGTAAGTAAAAGAAGTAACACTCGTTATTTAACTTCTAAAATAAATAAAGTTAGGCTACGTTCTGTATTTGAAAACTGCGCTATGCAAAGGAGTTGACTTATGCGTTGCTCTGATTGGTTGGTAGGTCTACCGACTATCCAACACTATCTCACGACCAATTTGTACGAATTCGACGCATGATTAAAAAGTGGCTAATTCGTACGACCTCACTCGTACTAATTCGTACGATTTGTCTAAACCCACGTGATGGTTAGGTTTAGGGGCGGGGTAAGGGGTAGGTCATTCGTACGAATTCATACAAATTGGCCAATTCGTAAAATATGTACGATTTAGCAAAATCGTATTAATTCGTACGAGTGAGGTCGTATGAATTGTTACGAATTAGCCACTTTTTAAACATTCGTCGAATTCGTACGACTTGGTCGTGAGATCGGGTTGGACTATCCAATTGAGTGCAGAGGTTTTTTTTGTCCTGGTTCGGTTACGACACGCCTCATAATCAAAGCCCAACGGAGGAGTTTCAGACTCATATTCTCTCTTGAATATGAGTATGACGAAGTCAGGCTAGGGTTTGTCCATTTTTGACCCAAATTTGAGTTAATACAACCCAGCATTTTAGTCAATATATTTTGTATTGTTTGTAATATTTTAGGATATTGACATTTCTAAAATCCACAAGTATCCTCTGTTTAGTCGAGTCACCTTCCTTTATGAAGCCCTTTTAACAATGTATATTGTCCCAATGCTGCTTTACAGTGATAATAGGAAATTAAAGTACACTCTAAAAAATGCTGGGTTGTTTCAACCCAAATTTGGGTCAAATATGGACAAACCCAAATGTTGGGTTAAAAATGTCATTTAAAATGTTAACCCAACTTCAACTTTCACTTTCAAAGGTACATTTTTAATTAGATTTATAACCCAACATTTGGGTTTGTCCATTTTTGACCCAAATTTGTGTTGAAACAACCCAGCATTTTTTCGAGTGTAACAGAGATTTGGCTTTACAGCAGCTCTGCTGTCCAGCTAAAGTTAGTTTTAATTGATTCACTTCAGTCGCAAGGGCCGCTTTAACAAAACTCTTACGTTCATTCTACTCAAACGTTAAAACGTTTAAAAACACAAACTTCTGCATTGTGTTAGTTCAAGAGGTCATGCGTGGCGCTGATATAGACATCTACTAAGACTGAAACTCCAGTAAGACTATGCTGAACAAGCAGCCAGTCTGTGAAATCTATGGTGGCGCATTGATTAGCAATGCATCCTTGTGTCGCATTCTTATTGAATTGCGTGTTAGCTAATCAACGTGACCTCGATGCTAAACGCTGCAGCAAAGCTATTTGAATATGTCAGTCTTCCAGATCTGGCACGACTGTTATCAGGTGCGGGATCTGTCCCGCGCACAATGACTTTCTGAAACCCCCCCCCACCATTGTTCTTTCCTGGGGCATCAATGTTTCCTCAGCCTTCGTTTATCTCTTCATGTTGACCTTGCTCAAAATTTTCCCTCTGCGGCGCAGATGACCGGAGATAACGGAAGGTCAGTATAATTGGATCAAACTGACAGCTAACGGGCGACTGACGCTTCCCGTAGCAGCAGGTTAAGCCACGTCTGTTCATCGCCTCTCTCTTTCGCTGTCCATGACAGACATCCATGTTAGATTTGCCGTCAGTAATTGGCTTTGCACAACATGATTGTGTGAACTTGAACAAAGACCCTTTGCATGAGAGGTCTGTAGTAGGCGAAGTCGTTCGTTTGTACTCGGACTTGCATCACAAATAGCGAATGAACGACTAGATCAACTGGTTCAAGCTCAAAGATGTTTGTTCTGTGGCTCTTTCTTACCGAGTCTAGAGCATACATAGGCAGTTACCTTCTAAGGTAGCATATACGAATTTGAATGTATGCGTAACACTTGTATTCTGAACTTATATGAGAATGTTGTGTCGACTGTTTTTTATTAGTTTGATACAGAAGTTGAGCTATTTAAAGAGCACAGTAATCATTTTCAGATTGCTCCAGCACTTGACGAATCTTGCTCATAGACTCTAGATGCAGAAAATGTTGTGTACTTTACTTTTAGTCTCTGAAAGTCAGTCATTTCTGTTTCAATTTCAGTTTTAAAGAAAAAATAACAACGGCTGAGACAAATACTCCTTAGTATCTGATTGCGCAACTCTTGAAAAGCCTGTCGATGCTTTTTTATCTCATCACTTTAGCACAAACTGAATGCTTAATTGTCACCCAATCAACCTTTACTAATGTAATGTCACTTATATTTAGATGGAGTAAATGGAAAGTCTCAATGTGGGAGAGAGATCAGAACGAGGCATTGAGGTGTGGAGATGATGGAATAGACTAGATCGTCTGCATTGGGCATCTCAATTAATTAGTCATTTTTAAATGAATATTCAGGGTTAAAAACACATTAAAGCTATGTTGACTGCATATGTGGCTGTCAATTACCCAATCTAAAAAAGAAAACCCTTCTATACAGAAATGCACTCACAAAGTACATGATATATTGTCAGTTACACTTTGATGGGACATATCCTAAATGTTTGTTAAATCAAGCTAAATGAAGGCCAAATACGTACACTCCCATACAATCTTCCAGATCTCAGATTCCTCTGACTGACAAACTGACGTTCATCTGGTTTGATAACTTGTATCTTTATGGCTAAATGTGTGTCTAAAATATGAACCCATATTTTTTATGCCGGGATATGAGGTAAAGTGAATAATATACATACAGTACATTCATAGACATATTAATACAACAATGTACAAATTACATTGAATCCATAATAAGTAAACCGCTGTCAGTACTATGATCTTTACTAGTGTGCAGGAGTGTAAAGCAGAAAATATACACACTGCTTTAAAGAAAGAAATACACATTGTGTATTGCAAATTAATTGAATATATCTAAAAAAACATTTTTAAACTCTCACGTTGACAGTAAAATCCAACACATAGTTTTCACATGCGTAATTGTTGTTTATTTTTAGTTTAACTTCATTTGTATGTAATCTGGAATATTCATTTAATTTTAACTTGGGTTGCTCATATCCATTGATAATTAAGCTTGCCTTTGATATGAATATGTCATTTGAGAGATGGAATTGGAAACATAAACAGCTCTAACCAACATGCAACTACCGCATTACAAGCTTAACTTATTTGTTTGTGCCATTCGATGAGACAGATGGTAATAGATTCCTCAAGAGAATTTGTATTTTTCCTGAATCTTGATATCTAATTGACTGATGTTTATGCTAACCTGTCTCTTTCTCCTTGTGTCTCGATAGGTTGACCCGCCTTTCCTTCATTTTTCTTCAATGTACCAATGCATTTGGAGTAAAATGTATCTGTGTTCTGTGTCACTCATCACAGGTTTAGCCCCTACGAATGGTATAACCCCCACCCGTGCAACCCCGACTCGGACGTGGTGGAAAACAATTTCACCCTGCTAAATAGTTTCTGGTTCGGAGTTGGAGCTCTCATGCAGCAAGGTAGACGCCTCTGCCTGCCCCTCTTAGCACACATCCCACTCTTTTGCTGGGGGTCTCAACTTGCTGTTGTCAGGCCCACTATGATGCATGGGTGCCTCTGTGCATGTAGTTCTAGAAGCAAATTGGTTGCTGGCCAATGGTATGAATGGGGCTGTGTGGGACTTGAAAGTGTTTAATGGTGGGTGTTGGGTATAGCAGTGGTTCCCAAACTTTGTAGAGTGTCGTACCCCAGACATTTAATGAGTTAGTTCACCAAAAAATGAAAATTCTGTCAGTAACGTCTCCCCCTCGTTTTGTTCCAACGCTGTAAGACTTTCGTTCATCTTCGGAATAAATATTAAGATATTTTTGATGAAATCTAAGAGCTGTCTCACTCCTCCATAGGCTTCTAGGTAATTGCCTCTCCCGGCCCAGAAAGTTAGTAAAGACATTGTTAAAATATTGTGACGTCAGTGGCTCAACCTTACGTTTATCAAGCGACGAGAATACTTTTTATGCGAAAAGCATAAATTGAAAAGCTATTATTTGTCTTTCGTGTGGGCCTTAGACGCGAGTCCACGAGAGCGACACGACGCATTTGCGAGAACTGAGAAGACGCAGATGGGTCTCGATGTAATGTTTAAAATTGTCCTAAAGTGTGCATTTCCTGGGTGACCGAATTGTTTGCGCACAAAAAGTATTTTTGTCGCTTGATAAACTTAAGGTTGAGCTACTGTCGTCACTTGGACTATTTTAACAATGTCTTTACTAACTTTTCTGGGCCGGCAAGTTTCAATCCCTTAAAAGCCTATGGGGGAGTGAGACAGCTCTCAGATTTAATCAAAAATATCTTAATATGTGTTCCGAAGATGAGCCAAAGTCTTACGGGGTTGGAACAACATAAGGGTGAGTAATTACTGACATAATTTTAATTCTTTGGGTGAATTAACCCTTTCTGCGTATCCCTTGGACTGCAGTCACACCTATTCGATTAAGGAACAACGTTTTCCTCCTTAAATTGTGCATTTTCTAACCCTATTAAATGTGTGTTATGTATTGTCATATACTTAAAATTCCATTAATTTTATTATTAAAATTATAAATTATGATAAAAACAAAGTGTTATTATTTAAACTAACACCACCCGTGGGTGGCAGCAAGTCAGTGTCTTAATGAGTAATTCATCAAGTCATTGATTCAGTAACGAATCAGATGGCTGTATTTATGAATGGGTCATTGAATCGACTTTTACGATTCGTTGCTTGGAGATGCACAGCAGTTCTCCTGTTTGTTGGAACTATTGTTTCGCAGAAAATAAAGCAAACGATTTTGATCATTTTTGATTAAAATATAGGCTACGTCACTAAAAAAATAACCTTTTGTTGGTTGAATTGTTTAAGTCAATTTGCAATCATGTAGATATTCTGGAAAAATTGCATTCCTGCTCAGATTAAAAACTAGAATTTTGCATTTAAGTGAGTTTGAGTCTTAAATTGATCTCTTTGCACAGTAGTTGTTATTCACGCTAATAAGTGCCGAACCTCCACTTTTAACGGTATATTGAATGGCAGTAATATACTGTAGATTTGCTAAGGCTAACTATCATATGCACACTGCTTGTGTGTATGTAGTCAGTTTTGACTTGTATTTGACTGTTTACCTCACTACCCTTTTTCCTGTTTTCACACTAGGGGCAGCATTGTGCCTGTTGTGCATCCTCTGTTTTAGTGTTATTTTAAGTTGGGGTAAAATTAAATGAACTCAGCTTTGGTTTGCATATACCCTCTGTCATTTCAAGTCTCGCCAGGGATACGCGTACTTTAGTTTGGGAACCACTGGGAATGAGGATCAGGGATTCATTCGTTGCATGCAGAACTTTTCCATAACCACTGTTCTCTTGCTCATCAGAGTTCTGAGAAGGTAAGTCCAAATTCATGCAGAAAACGGCGGAATGACACAAAGACTAACTCTCGGTCATGTCGTCTGTCTTAGACTGACATGTGTGTTGTTGACTTCTAACCCCAATCCTACCAAATCCTCATGCCACATCTTCTCAACTGTGGGACGCATATGTTTGAGATTGAGAAAGGCCTATGATGAATGAAGGACAATGACACATGCAACCTGCATGCCTTTGTGTTGCATCAGACTAGAATAATAAGATTTGGTTGAGTAATGAGAGACACCAGGCCCTTGTTTGCAAAGTAGCATGGGTAATGTTTGAATCTGCACTGCATCCATCAAATGGAATGATTTGCCGCTGGGATTGGATTGATATGTAACATTAACCATGTGAGTCTACTTTGTTAAAGAGATTACAAAGAGCTGTGCAATGTGGACAGCATGGATATCTGTTTTGACACGGAATATTAGAAGCTAAAAAAAACTGCAGATATTATGAATAGTTGCATAGCTGCTCTAGTTCGTGGAGCAATTTGTCTGGTTTGTCAGCCTCCAACTAAAGCAGAAGTCTTCACCCCTGCTCCTGGAGGCCCACTGTCCAGAAAAGTTTATTTTGTGATTTTCAAGCGATCCTGAAGAGCTTAATTTGCTGTAGGTGTGTTTTATTAGGGTTGGAGCTCATCTCTGAAGGACAGTGAGTCTCGAGGAACAGGGTTGATGACCTCTGAACATATGAGGATAAGTAAAAGTTTGGGTTTCTCAGTGTACGCCTTCTCAGCCCCAAGAGCAGGTAACCTACTGAACCCCACGAGATTGGCACTATTAACAAGGAATCATCAGTAAGCAGAGGTCATTAAAAGTGAACTGGATCATTGTGAATTATTTTCCAACAGCTTCACCCATTGACAACACAATGTTAGGATGCCATTGGGACTGTCCTTTGTTCAGGCTCCGCTGTGAGTTTTGGAAGAGAAGATGTGGCATCAGGCTGAGGGCAAAATGAGCAGGGTTTGTGTATGATGACTGTATGCATGTCTCTTGATGAGTGAGTAACACTACATTGTAGAGAGGCTCCCCTGCCCATGGCTTGTCAGCTCCGAGAAAACTGTGGGATGGCGTGCTTGGACATGACGTTACCTTGGGTACATGACAGTCAGCCCCAACCAGGTTATATAAGGTCACCCTGACCAAATGGTCCAGTATGGTGACACTTTGAAATGGCAAGGTTTTTATGCTGTTTTGACACGACTGTATGTTTGATTCTTTAAGGCATCTTGTCCGCTAAAGTTGAAATGTGTAAAATATGTGCCTCTAACTACTGCTCCTAACTACTTGTTTGGATAAACGGGTATTCCTGTCCAAAACTTACACAATTGTTTGAGCCACATGTTGGATGCTCAAGCACCACAGTGTTTGCACTTAGAAAGTCAGCCTATGGTCGATGAATGCTTCAGATATTCAGTAGTTGTCTCTGTGGATAGGATAAGAGAACGTCTTTCAGCATTGAAGAAAATAAACACATCACCTTTAACAAATGAACTGCTAGTGTATGTAAGGGAAAGGAGATTCTCTCCAAACTCCAAAATATCTAAACTCTGGACTTGATTGATAGGTCACAATAGCATTACCACTCTGCTCAGACCTAAGTTTGGAGTTCAATTGTAATTCATGTAATGGCTAATCGTTCTGACAGTCCTTTGTGTTTTGCCATGGATTCAAAGCGTACAATGAACCGCAAAACTTGAGAAAAGGTGCCAGTTATTTCCTTGCGCTATTGTCCTCTAGTTATTTCCCCTACTTTCCCCCCTTTTCGATTAATTTCCTAAGCATGACCAGGGTGACAACTTGATTAAGGGAGAACAGAAAATGATACTTGGGCTGTAACATAAAATGGCTCTTCATTTTGGCTTTTACCCACAAGCCAAATGGATAGAAGAGTGTAGGGCAATTCAAAGATAAATGATGAGTCCTTTATGCTTTAATACAAAAATGAGAGTCTGTAATCTAATTAAATTTGGCCACATAAATTCTACTAACACATACATATATATACATCATCCCACTTGTCAAAAGGCAAAGCCTTTCCCTGCAAACTAGTTATCTGGACTACAGTAGGTTAGACCTGTGCATCTGGTTCTGGTCCTCACATTGAAATCACTGCTTTACCCTGACTACTATCTCTGCTCCTCTCTACTAGGATCTGAGCTCATGCCCAAAGCCCTTTCCACCAGGATAGTGGGGGGAATCTGGTGGTTTTTTACCCTAATCATCATCTCCTCCTACACGGCCAACCTAGCCGCCTTCCTCACTGTGGAGAGAATGGAGTCTCCCATTGACTCGGCTGATGATCTGGCCAAGCAGACCAAGATTGAGTATGGAGTGGTTGAGGACGGCTCTACAATGACCTTCTTTAAGGTAAGTTGAGGCCGTCATATCACTTGTAACATAATTAACATCAAACAATAGCGTTTTTTCCACCAAAATGGTTTGGACGAGTCCCATTTCTCAAACTGTTCTGATCATTTCCACCACATGAACGGGGGTTCCAGGCCATTCAAATCCAGAGAGTGGGAACAGAGAAATGATGATGCTGGTCTCATTGAGAAATGTAATAATGTTGCAGTACTTTTCTCTGTATGTCGAAATATATAAAACCTGCACTCTTAGAAAAAAGGGTTCATTGGGGTTCTATATATGAAGCATAGGGTTCTTTACTCAACTCCAAAGAACCTTTTATGCTAAAAAAGGTTCTATAATGACAAGAAAGAACCCTTTTGGCACAAAGGTTCTTTATAGGCTATTATTCATTCATATATTACATTATTCTGCAACAAACTGTTGTAGTAACTTAATATCACATTTTAATCATCCTGGTTTTAGAGGAGAACAACTGAAATGGCACTCTTCTTGTGATATTGATTAACTACATAAAATGATATAAATATATACATTTTCTAACCCCCATATCTTGAATTAGGTGATCATTCACATGCATTCATAAATACATTTTAGGGTCCTGATGTTTGTCAATACTATTAAATATTTAATTCGGAAAGGACAAAACAAATGACAATGCATGAACCCCAAAGGTTCCATATAGAACCTTTTCATGGTTACAAATGGGTTTTTATTATTGAACCCTTAAAAACGGTTCTGTATAGAATCTTTTAGGGGTTCCAAATACTTAGCGCTGATAGAACCTTTTAAGGTTCTATATAGAACCTTTTCCAAGAGTGTGTGCACCTCACTCTTAGAAAAAAGGGTTCTATATATGTAGCATAGGGTTCTTTACTCAACTCCAAAGGACATTTTATGCTAAAAATGTTCTATAATGACAAGAAAGAACACTTTTGGCACAAAAGTTCTTTATAGGCTATTATTCATTCATATATTACATTATTCTGCAACATTTTGTTGTTGTAATTAAATTTTTGTTTATTAAACTGTTGTACAGTAGTAACTTAATATCACATTTTAATCATGCAGATTTTTGGAGGATAAAAACTGAAATGGCACTCTTCGTGTGATATTGATTAATTACATTTTTTAACCCCCATATCTTGAATTTTGTGATCATTCACATGCATTGCATTTTAGGGGTGTTTCCAATACGTAGAGCTTTAAAACCTTTTAAGGTTCTATATAGAACCTTTTCTTCTAAGAGTGTGGCGTGCAATATAGACCTTATTGAGAGCAGCGCCATGACAGGTATGAACGTGAGGCTGTGAGGGATAGACTTACCGTGTTTCCAATGGCATCCGCTGTAAAAAGCTGAATAAAGCTCCCAGATTACTCACAATTTTCCACAACTTACATTGTCGGGAGTTTTTTGTCAACTGAAACTTCTTGGAAAGATATTTTTCCAGTGTTTCATGAGCAGAACAATCCGAAAACACATTAAATAACAGTACAGCCCATTGAAGAGATGCAAGTCTATCCCTCACAGCCTCGCTTTCATTCTCATTAAAAATCAAAGATGGCGCTGCCGTGAATAAGGCCTATTGCTGGTGGATCTGCGGTCTCAGTTTCAATATCTCTTCATGAGGACAGAGGAGAGTTTAGATGAGAGCTTCTGGTACACTAGAATGTACATTTAAGGATGACGCATAACCGGATCGCCCTGTGATGTCCACTGGGTTTATTTTTGTGATAATGACCAGCTAACTCCACATTATCCTTCAGTAATTTGATTTGATTTAATTCAATTTTTGATTGATTGAAGCTTTACTAACTGAGTCACCAGGAAGGTCAAAGACAGGCTAGTATTTTTAATATTAATTTGAGCATCTGGTGAAGAGACATTTTGCCGGTCAGATGGTCTGGAACGTTGAATAGTGGTGTCATGGTTTGAATGTGATGTTTGCAAAGTTTTTAAACTTGACCTAATAATTGAGGTTGTGTTTCTGAGCTTTTGCTGCTTTGGACTGCTGGAGGTGCAAAGGTTGAAATCATAATTTAATGACTGCAATGTTCAGTGCCTCTATGTGGAGATCCACTCTGCATTTCTTTATTCAGTCCAGAGGGGAATGAACATGTTCACTGTAAGAGCAAAATAATCTTATTAAGTCAATATTTTTGCTTTGAGATCACAGACTGTCTCCATTTGTGACCAGTTCAGTGAAATACTCAGCCAGCTGTTACAAAGCAGGTTTTGTCGTTCCTATCCGCCTCTGTAATATGTTCTTCTAAATATACAGAGATATATCACCATCTGTTTTTTTTGCTTCATTAATATGTTCTTCTGTGATATATAATTCATTTTTAATCTGTAATTCATTTTATTTCAAAAAGAGACAGTGTGCATTAATCAACATTCATGAATGTGCCCAAATTAGCCATCATTTCTGGTCTTGTTCTGATTAATTCACCAGCACAGTTTATTTCTAAAGAAAAAAATGTGTTTGTACAATCAGATTATATTTATGATACAAGCGATTCCTGAAGGAATTGGCAACCGGATTAGAGCAGATTACTGGAGAGAGCTCCTTTAAAGCATCCTGTTCCTGACAACGCCTATAATCCATTGCCGTCAGATTTCCTCCAGGAGCAGCAGATGTTCTGAGCGCTGAACACATGTGCTCTTTTAGCAGGTGCTGATGTATTGAGTGATTGAGTGGCAGTGCGGATGATTGACGGTTTGATAAACTGCCTTTATTGATTCTGTATAATGCGCTACAGAGAGACAGTCACAGAACTCAATAGTATCGAGAACACTTTAAATTAAATAGGTTCCTTTTATGTTCTGTAATTAAAGGAATTTAGAACCATATCAAACACTGAAACCCCTCGTGGCTGAAATAGTTTTAGGTTCTTTACATCTGTACGTTCATCGCTGGCTTCGATAGCTTCTATTGATTTGCTGTTGTTACAAACCCCGATCTACTGCTATATAATCTAAAATATTGGTTCTCATTCACCAATCGTGTACACACACATTTGTGTGCGAAATCTATGCACCAATATTTTCACGAACATGTCCAGTGAGGTGCACTAAAAGGTTAAAGGAGTAGTTCAGTTAAAAAAAAACAAAAAACCTTTTGCTGATAATTTACTCACCCCCATGTCATCCAAGATGTCCTTGTCTTTCTTTCTTCAGTCGAAAATGAGTTAAGGTTTTTGATGAAAACATTCCAGGATTTTTCTCCATATAATGGACTTCAATGGGAACCAAACGGTTCAAGGTCCAAATGAGAGTTTTAGTGCAGCTTCAAAGGACTTTAAACGATTCCAGACGATGAATAAGGGTCTTATCTAGGCCGACTCGAAAAAAGATTCGTTCATTTTGATAAACAGGAGAGTCACGAACGCGCATCACAGAACAGAGCAAGGCGAGCATTTGAGCTTATAAAACTTAAACTTTGTTATTTATTTATTAAATGAGCGATCGTTTTGCTTGATAAGACCTTTATTCATCATCTGGTGTCGTTTAAAGCCCTTTGAACAGTTTGCACTGAAACTCTCATTTGGACCTTGAACCGTTTGGTTCCCATTGAAGTCCATTATATGGAGAAAAATCCTGGAATGTTTTCATCAAAAACCTTAATTTCTTTTCAACTGAAGAATGACATGGACATCTTGGATTCAGCAAGTTTTTTTCAGAAATGAACTACTCCTTTAAAGCTCTATTGTATCTGAAAATAAACCATATCATCTAAACCATAAACATACTTGATAGTGTTAACAAAAGCAAACGTGAGTTAAGAACACATTTGCTGAAGTAACAGTGCCATTTTAGCTGCTTATATGAGTCTTTGAGCTCTTTTATTGTGAATCATGTTTCACGGGACTCGTACTTGAACTGGTAAAACTGTTTTGAGGTCAAAACATTGAGCAAGGAACCACACAAAAATAAGGTATAATCTACTTAATCATCATTTTGCGTCAAAATGAACAAAAGTGGCTGCAATTTTACTGTCTCTAGCGATCATTTCAGTTGGAAACGGCAGTGATTTGTGTATTGCGAGTTTGGTTTTGGGAGCAAAAATGTACTGTAGGTAGAGGCACATTTTTCCAATAAGCCTGTTTTGAACAGATCATGCTTCATCACACAAAAGTTTATTCTGAACGTATACGAAAAATGTAGGAATAAACTGAAACCACACATTTGCAATAATCACATGCTTGGGGTTGCTTTCTAATTATCCTAAGATTAAATTGTGTACGTGCTCAAGGATCTTTCCCGCACAGTGTAGCATATGATTTCTGAAAGTGACAAAAGGCTGAAAGTGACGAAAAGCCCTTGTATGCTGATTGTTTGGACGTATTTGATGCAAATTACTAACCTCGAGTATGTGGTCACTCATTTATAGTCCAAATTCATTAGTATTAGAACAAGGTTAAGAACAAATTCAAATGCTTACACGTTTGTTTGTTTTTTGTGATAACTCTTCTGTGCATGTAATCCACACAATAATTAGTGAATTAGATTTTTTTTTTCTTGTTTTAATGTAATATTTGAAAAATGTTACACAGTTATTTGTTAAAAAGATTCAGCATAATATGCCACCTCCAAGATTAATATTATCATTCCTGCTACTGTACTGTACTTTTTTTGTTTGTTTGTTTAATTTGTCCTCATTGTGTCTCTATTATCTATTAAATTTAAAAGGCTGATGTAACGAGTACTACTTCGTTTCAATTGAGAAAAATATCTCAATAGCTTTTTTTAGAGAATTTTTCTTTTATAGCACAAATTTAGGCTAACTTTTCAAAACCTGTTCACTGTAGGCTCACAATGTCCTGAACACCAATATTTGAAGGATTTAGAAAAGATGAGTCACTCTCTGGCCAACTGAGATTTGGTATGGAGATAAAGGCGAGGATCATTATTGTGTCTGAGCACACCATGAGTGTATATTAGCACACTTTATTGTTTGCTTTTGGGACCTCGTTGACATCAGACTTAACAACCGGGT